CCACCGCATAGCCCCTCCCCCGCTCCCCAGGTCCCCTCATTCTTTGCTGATTGTGAGGCTCATGCCAGTTGGAGATTCTGTTACTCTTTCTGCCTCCACACCAACAGCTACCAACAATTTGCAAGAAGGGGAAACTGTATTAAAAATAAAAAAGACCATTTCAGGCTCTGAAGTTTGCTTTCAAAAGACTTGTATATAAAAATGTCCTTAAGCAATACTGATTCCCGTAAACTTGCAGTACTGTTAGAGGCTCCCCCTCCCAAATTCTGGTGTTCTTTAACCGTTAGATATTGCAGACTTCAATTATCCTTTTTCAGCGTCTGTACTTAAACCACAAAGAGCAGCCCTTGGAAGCGGAGGGCACAATTGTTGCCAACAACAATGACCAGAACCAAAAACACAGAGTGACCAAGGATTTGCACAGGGCACCGCCTTCTGTGCCCCGTGACGTGGGCCACGGGTGTTCGCCATCTCCAGGGACGAGGACAGATTTTATGACCAGCTGTGAGCCTCAGTCTGTGTGTTGAGGAGACACTTTCTTTGTGCTCAGGTGGGTATTTGGAGCCCTGGGTTCCAGGGCCCAGTGACTCACATCTACCCTGGGCGCAGGTATGCCCGAAAGCTGCTGGCTGGAGTGGATGTTGAATTTATTATGTGAAAGAAACAGCAACTTTGGGGCACCCTGAGTTTTCAGCAGTCCGTGTTGCCCGGCCCCCTCTGGGGGCGCATACGCAGACTAACTGTGTGAGATGGGTAACTGGACCAGCAGCAGCAGTGGACACATTTAAGAGGAGCAGCAGCCTCAGGAATCTTGGGAGAGGCGTTCCCAGGGAGGGAGGAGTCACTGGCTCAGAGGACAAGGCTCAGTGGGCCCCTGGCTGATGCCTGGGTGTGGAGGACACCAGGCCCGTGCGTCCAGGCATCCTTCCTTCCCACCTGCTGGGACTACTGGCCTTCCATTGAGCATGCACCTCTTGAAGACCTACTGTGTGCTAGAACCTCTGCTAGACAGTGGCAACAGGGAGGGCAAGGCGTGGCCTCTGCACTCCAGCAGCCCCTGGGTGAAGACACGGAAGCAGATTCCTGTACTGACTGCACCAGCGAGGCCCCAGGTCTTCCCTCCAGCCTGTGAATGTCACCAGCAGAGAAAGAGTCTCCCCTGCTCCCAGCACAAGACTGGTCCCCAACAGCACAACATGATCTAGCGATTGAATATAATATACACATCAACGAATCGTATGGTAAAAAAGTCCACAGAAGGAAACAGCTCAGCTTCCAAAGTGTTTCTACAAGAGAAGCTTCAACTGGTCCTCAAAGACGGAAGGATTCAGACCACATGAAACGGAGGCTCATGGGCAGACTTCGTGCCTGGAATACAAAGCAGCAGCCTGTTCAGGGGACACACCGGGCCACTGTGCTTTGAGCACAGGCTCCGTGTAAGACCGTGTGGCAAGAGAAGGGCCAGGTGCCTGGAAGACCGTGTGTGGCCCAGGGGAGCCCCATGGCGGGTTTTTATTAGACTTCCATCTAGAAAGCTGGCCCTGAAGGAATGGGGGGGCCAGACTGGCCTGGAGACCCACTGCCCAGCAGACAGCCCAGCAGGACCCCTTACTGACTTCTCCCCTTGTCTCTGTTCATTTATGCGTCCTCCATGGTCTCTGGTCCAGTATTTTACTTAGAGTAAATACAGTTGACCCTCAAACAAGACAGGTTTGCACGGCACGGGGCCACTTATACATGCAGGCTTCTCCAAAAATATAGAACAGCACTGTACATGTATTCTCTCTTCTTTATGATTTTCTTAATAACATTTTCTTTTCTCTAGCTTACTTTATTGTAAGAAGACTGTACATAATGCATATAACATACAAAATATGTCTTAATCAACTTCATGTTACTGGTAAGGCTTCTGGTCAACAATAAGCTAATAGTACGTTTTGGGGAGAGTCGAAAGTTATACTTCGATTTGTGCAAGGGGGTCATCCCCCCAACCCCAATATCATTCAAGGGTCAGCTGTAGGTTCTAAATATCAGTTGACTTTTTTTTTTTTTTTCCAGTTATGTGGCTCTTCAGTCACTTAATAATGGCACAGTTGGGTTCTGAATCCAGGTCTTCTGATTCTTCCATTTCTTTGACATAGAAAGTTCTCCAGATGTTTAGTCCAAGAGTTTTCAGATTTAGCTTAATTCTTAAGCTTCAATTTATCTTGTCTGTTGGATTCTAACCTTCAGTTCACATTGTATCAAATCTTTAACCTTTCGAAATTGTACTTTGGAACAAGATCACTAGTGTTTGTCTTAAGGAGTGATAGCAGATACTTTTCCAAGTCACTGCCTACTCAGACTAAGCTATTTTAGAAGTTTGAGTGTGGATAAGATGGTCATCCCTGCTTTTTAAGACACTTTCTGTGACAATTCAGTTTTTAAACTTTTCTGATTAAATTAACACAAATTTTGCTGATTGGCTTAGTATTTTCATTTTTTGTTTTTTTTTTTAATTTTTGTTAAAAAAATTTTTTAATGTTTATTTTTGAGAGAGAAAGAGACAGAACATGAGCAGGGGAGGGGCAGAGAAAGAGGGAGACACAGAATCTGAAACAGGCTCCAGGCTCTGAGCTGTCAGCACAGAGCCGGACGTGGGACTTGAACCCATGAACCATGAGATCATAACCTGAGCCGAAGTTGGATGTTTAAATGACTGAGCCACCCAAGATCCCCTGGACTATTATTTTTAGACATATATCTGGCTTTCTAGTTTTTCTACCCCTGTTTGCAAGAGCTAAATGATATAGTGGGTGTCATGGCTGACATAAGGCTAGTGAGGCACCGAATCATAATTAATTTAGGCCCTAGTGGCGCCCAGTTGGCACAGTCTCTGGAGAGCTGACCTTATCTTTGATGTATTCAAAGCAAGTTATTTTTACTCTGGTGGTTAGGGAAGTACACAGCCATGCTGTCTCTTTGTTTTCTCCTTATTACAGAATCCATTGGGAGGTTTGATAGGGCAGCCGCCGGGGTGCCAGGACAGTGGGACACATGCCAAGAGAGGGTATCCTGCTTGGCAAGGCCACCCAGGGTCCTTCGGATGGCTCTGTGCCCGTTTAATTATTCTAAGTAGAAGAGTTGTCCTCAGCGAAGAGGTGAAGCGGAAGGCTGCTCCTTACTCTTCCCATTTCCCTGCCCTCCTCACTGCCTTCTCTCCCTTGAGTGTTCTTGAACTCTGTCCTTTCTTTCTATAAGCTGCTTGTAGAACTTTTAATTTTCCATGAATAGAAAATGGCTGATAACCACTGACAATGCTTCCTCTACCACGTGGGTTGGTATTTTTACAAATACCAAACTTAGGCCAAAGGGCAAGGGGCAGATTTTCAGACCTCTGTTCTCCTCTTAAAAAAGATTGGGGTGAAGGGTCCCTGAACTCATGACACATGGGTGGTGGATTCTGTAAGAGCAGGGGGGCAAGAAGAGGGTGTGGCTCTGCACATATCACCCCTCCTGGAGTGTTTTTACAACCCTGAAGCCAGACTGTACTCTCACCAATGAAATCAGACTCTCTCAGGGCAGGACCGAAATATCAGGGCTTTTGGAAGCACTTCCTGTAACTCCTGCCCAGGCTGCATGTGGGGGCCTCCGTGGGGGTTGGGACTCACCCCTGCCACCTGGGAAATTTATCAAATGTTGCAACTATTGCTGTCTGATAGTGTGTCCTTTCAGTGTGGATGAAGTAAAATGGACAGCAACCTTTAATGTTACCAGCTCTGTTTGGAGAACACCAGGAACTTTCCCAATATTTCCTTCAGCCCCTCGAGTCTGAACTAGCTGTTTACCCACGGCAGTCTCTGCCCAAGCCCTTAGATATTCTTGCTACTCTCCATCCCCCCATGGCCTCCTGTGCTTGGCTGCACAGGTAGCTGCCCCAAATTCTTCCTGACAGTCCTCACGGGGTTCTGAGGGGCCTAGAGGAGAATAAAACTGGATGTTTTATCTTCCTGTAGAGCAGGGATTCTCAACCCTGCAGCACATTAGAATCACCCCAGGGCTCGATTTTGATTTAATGGGTCTGCAGCAGGGTCCATCCATTAGGGGAATTTAGAAAGCTCCCTGGGTGATTCTAATATGAACTCAGAGACAAGAACCAGATCTGTAAGATAAAATGAAATGTAAAAAAAAATATATGTATTTGTATTTTTTTCAACATTTAGTTCTAGAAGATAATGAAAGATGCTGGTCAGACAATAAACAAAATACAGAGATTATTTTTAAAATATATATTTAAATATGTCTATTTTGAAAAAAATTACACACACACATATTTATATATATTCTATATTCCCCCGCCCCCCCCAATCCAATACCTGATATTTTTGAGGAGGCCAGTGTGCAAGGTGGATGACTCTTAAGCAGGACTTGGAATGTACTATCAGAGAAAGATCTTGATGTCAGTATCACCAACTATTAATTAGGGCAGCACTAGCTGCTGTAACAAATAAAACCCAGACCTTCAGCAATTTTACACTGGGAATTTGGTGTCCATGTAGCAGTGTGGAGGGTGAAGAGATCAGAGAGGCAGCCCTCCTTTCTGCACATTCAGGGTCGCCAGTATTTGGTCTGATGGTGGCCCTGCTAGGGGGCGAGGAGAGAGTGGGCGGGGCTCCACTGGGAGGGACCCATTGGCTGGGCCCTGCGACGTGTGCTCGAACCTCATTGGCCAGAACTCAGTCACACGACTGCTACCTGTGTGAACTATTTTGTGCAGACCCAAGCTACTTGTGTGAACTATTTTGGGTAGCCCCAGCCCCTGGCCGGGAGCTGGACGGCGGTGGAGAGCAGGCCCTCTGCAGCACCTGCCATTTGCCTGTGTGGAGTCGGGTGCCCCGCGGAAAGGCCAGGTGTGGCCGCTGCCCTTGGGAATGCAGGCTCCAGGCCTCCTAGGTGCGAGAGCCTGCAGAGGATACATGATTGTATTAAGGGCTGTGCCCTTTCTCTTCTTTTCTCCACAGATATCGCAAACGGCACCAGTTCAGGGGGGTACCGCCCACCTCCCAGAACCAAAGAAGTCATCATCAATGGCCAGACTGTGAAACTCAAATATTGTTTCACCTGCAAGATTTTCCGGCCTCCTCGCGCCTCTCACTGTAGCCTTTGCGATAACTGCGTAGGTGAGTAGAAGTGGAAATTGCCTCTGTCCCGCCCCTCGTGTGTGTGGGAAGATGTCTGTAGCTGACGGAGTAGCTGATTTCCCGTGTGTAGACTGTGCTAAAGAGAATCGGCATGGGTGTCACTTCAATCCTCCAAAACTGAGCAACAATAATAGTTAATATTTCAAGCGCTTCCAGCCATGTATGCAGTTCACCAAGCCTAGGGTTCCCAAGTCTCTTTTCCTCTTACATTCTCCAGCACCCCCCGCTGTGGGTGCAGGCCCTAGACCGGCTCCTCCAGGCGTGCACACACCGGAGTGGGGGTTCTTTGTTCCCTGGAGCTGCCAAATCAGCAGGCACTAGAAATCATTTTACCTCTGGGTCCCTCCATTGCCCGAAGGGCTGGAGGCACATGGAGCCGGATGTGCTTTGTGAAGTTCTTCCAACTCCTCAGAGGAGCACTGAGCTGGGAGATGGAGGCATTGGAAGCACAAAGAGAGAAAAAGAGGCAGAGGCCAGAAGACGTCCAGGCCTAAGTTAGGATCGTGGCTCTTCCCAGTGACCACCAAGACCTTCCCTCTCTGTCCACTGGTTTTCTCCAGGACAGACTAGAGAAATAGGCAGAAGGAATGGGTGACACGGAGGTTATCGGTTGTAAGACTTGGCTCTACGGCTCTGCCACCACTGGTCCAGGACAGGATTTTCCAACTGCCGTGGGTCCCAGTCTTTTGCAGTTATTTGGCAAGCACTTCCTGTCACTTCGGACTGAGAGCCTCTTACCACACTCACAGACCATAGTCTGCCCTGGGCTGGAGCTTCTTAGAGATGAAGTTGGCAAGGAGATGGTAGAAGACCCAAGTCACAGGAAGGGTGATTGCAGAAAGGCTCCGCCCATGGAGAAAGACCCTCTTTTCTCCAGTCCCATAGCCTGCTTCTAATAGAAATGACCAAGGGTAATTCTGGGCTTTAGGCATAGGAATCCTCGGTCAGCTCAGAACAAACCTGTTTCCCTCATATCATCAATGCCCAACACTCTTCCTGAGTCTATTAGAATTTGTAGTCTCAATTCTTGAGGAAAATAGAATGTTATAATGTGCTTCCGGTGTGCAAAGCTATTTTCCTTTTGTCTGAAATTCGCTTCATCCTAACTTTAAAAATCTACAATTTGGTAGAAAATCCATGATTTCCCCATCAGGCCTTGTCTTGGTTTTATTAACTTAGATGAATTACTTTTAGATTTTGCTCCCGCAGCAGAATAGAATAGAATTACATTCAGTCTTTTCCCATTTTGAAAGTAGCCTGAGTTAGGAGCTGGAAGTCTGGAACCACATGGCCTGGGTATAAATACGAGCTTCGTATCTACTTAAACTCTTTATGCCCCAGTTTTCTCATGTGTACAGTGGGGTTGATACAAGTAACTACTTCATGGGACGGTCGAGGGATTAAATGAATCAGTACAAGGAAAACAGAATAGTGCCCGCTGTATAGGCTCTATAATTGTTGCTGCTATTCTGTTATTACATCTGCTCCCATGATATTTTTGTTTGGCTTTCTCTGGATAATTTCTTGATCAACTGTAGCCCTCTGTGGGGGTGATGACCAACACTACACCTGGTCGTCTACGTGGGTGCACACTAGGGTTCCTTCAAAGACACACGACAGCCTTCGTTAGGTTTCTAATATGCTTCCTGGTGACGTCAGCCGTCTCATGCCCATCTTGAGGACATTTTAAACCAGAGCATCATGGTGGCATAAACATCTGCAGGGAATAATCTGTAGGGATTCTCAGGACCCTCTCTTGGGTCATAATTTTTTTTTTAATTTTTGTAATGTTTTATTTTATTTCTGAGAGAGGGAGAGAGACAGCATGAGCAGGGGAGGGTCAGAGAGAGAGGGAGATACAGAATCTGAAACAGGCTCCAGGCTCTGAGCTGGCTGTCAGCACAGAGCCTGACGCGGGGCTCGAACCCACGAACCGTGAGATCATGACCTGAGCCAAAGTCGGACGCTTAACCGACTGAGCCACCCAGGCGCCCCTTGGGTCATAATTTTGATATTGCATGAATGAATGTTATATGATGGAATAGTATATAACATGCGCTTTTCACATAAGCTTTTCTGTTACTTTGCTTGCCTTTTTCTGGAGGTCCAGTGACTTATTCCACTAGGCATTATAGGTAGGGAGTTGTTATATACAAACCCATAGCGTTTACTGGGCACCTCCTTCTCTTTATCATTTATAAAAATGTTTACCCATTTCTAGACATCTGACTGTCCCTTTGTTCATTTGTATCATTTGGTCCCAACCTTCTGTTTCCTTTCTCTAGGCTAGACTCTTAATCATGATAAAACTTCCTCCCCAGCTCATAGTGCTTTAAAATTCTCTTTGGATTATTGTAAAACACTTTCTAAAAGCTCATAGAATTGTCTTATTCATTCCCTCCAACAGCCATAGGTGTTCATACATATCCCTTAAAGAACCTTGATGAATTAGAAGTAAAATCTCCTTACCAAAATTATGTATCAACCCCAGTTAATGGTGCACTTCTCCCAGAATATAACTGTTTAAGGTAGTACAATATCTTATGGAAACTACCAGCTGAGAAAATAAGAGCCATCAGTCTATAATACCTCAGAGCCCTTCTGCAGCTTTTTTTTTTTTAAAGTTTATTTATTTATTTATTTGGAGAGAGACAGAGAGAGAGCATGCAAGCAGGGGAGGGGCAGAGAGAAAGGGAGAGAATCCAAAGTGGGCTCTGGACTGACAAGGAGCATGAACTGTGAGATCATGATCTGAGCCAAAACCAAGAGTTGGACACTTAACTGACTGAGCCACCCAAGTGCCCCATAAACCCTTCTGATAAATCCAAGTCACAGTGGCAATCCAGCATTCCACAAATAAGCATGGCGGTGTCCTGTAATTGGGAGGCACAGAACAGTGAAAAGAGAGGAAAGGGGAAAGTTTGGGAGTAGGCTCCAGAGGAGGAAACTTGGCCAGAGAGCGTATCACCAGCATCTGCCCCTCAGCATCATTTGATGGCCCTGGGGCTGGGGTTTGGCAAACCCTGATGAGGACCCCACTGTGCAAATGACAGGTGAGATAAGTAGCATACGGGTGATTTAAAATAAAGCTACTCACAGCCCTCCTGCAACAACCACACAGTGACTCACACCTACATCGCTTCGGTTTTCCAGTTCATTATGCTACATTTGGGCCTTTGGCGTGACCCATTAGCAGACCAGCAAATTGGACTTTGTTCTGCATTTGGGAAAATAGAGTGGAAAGCAAATGTCTCCAACTGAGAAGTGTAATTGCAGAGTTTGCCACGATTTTATTTTTAGATAGAACGTTTTTATTGAAAGAATTCTGCTTTTTGCAGCCAGGGAGAAAAATACAATGATATGCTGAAAGCCAGAGTTAGCACATGTGGCTTCCCTTACCTTGTAATGAGTGGGTTTGGGTCGGTTCTTCCTAGGGACACAAATAAATGTCGCTTGATGCTGGGAGAAGGGAGAGGAAAAATGGGGTTTCCCAGGCAGTTCAGAAGAGTGGTTTTCTTTGTTAAATACGTTTGAAATGAGAGCAAACTTGTAAGGGCTCTGTATTTTGAGTTAAGGACTGATGGTAAAGCTTTCGTGGAGAGCAAAGCCTGGTGCAAATATAGAATGGGTTAGCAGGGCCTTGTGGTTGGCAACTTGGCTCTAACACACTCAGACTTGGGGACTGGATCCGGGTCCTGTCATTGGATGATATTGGTACATGAGTAGGTTATCTGACTACCCCAACTGTTAGCACATCTATAAAGTGGATGACCCTAGTACTACCTCGTAAGTTTCTTTTAAGGATTAAAAGAAATGGGGCGCCTGGGTGGCTCAGTCGGTTAAGCGTCTGACTTCAGCTCAGGTCATGGTCTCACAGTTCATGAGTTCGAACCCCAAGTCGGGCTCTGTGCTGACAGCTCAGAGCCTGGAGCCTGTTTCAGATTCTGTGTCTCCCTCTCTCTCTGACCCTCCCCTGCTCATGCTATCTCTCTCTCAGAAATAAATAAAACATTAAAAAATTAAAAAAAAAAAAAAGTATTAAGTGAGGCTGTGGCCAGCAAGGACCCAGTATAGACCTGCCACATGCTGTGGGGGCTCAGAGAGTGCTTGTCATTAATGTTACTGTGGGTAACCAGGGGAATGCTGCTAACAGTGCTCCAAAAATACCTGCACAGGACAAGTTCAGGGGGTGATAGGGGTCACCTTGTTTCCCCGTAATCTGGTATGATACAGATGACCTGCAGTCTTGGAATGAATATACTCTTTCTCTATCTCATTTTGTCTCTATTTACCTCTGTTTCTGTCTGTCTCTCTTTCAAAACCTTTCTCTGTCTCTCTCTAGTTCTCTTTCTTGGTTGCTATCACATTGCTTCTGCACCTATGGAACCAGCTATTTTGTCATGTTTGTTCAGCCAGGCAGTCTTTGAAGTTATAAAATATTTTTAGATGACCAGCATCTAGGGCCATGGGGCCACTTCTGCTCTCTCTGATCCTAAGGCTCCTTCGGGTCATTCTTAAATTGAGAGTAACTGAAGGTGCTGAGGAAGCAAACTGTACACTCGGGAGGTCCTCTCAACCCCGCTGTATATCTCAGAGCCCCAAGTGAGTCCCCTCCACATTTCAGGGAAGTCTGTCCTTTGATGGACTCTGGTCTAGGGTCAGAATAGCCAGCAGCTCTCACTGGAATTGGGTATTTTTAATACACTCTAAACCTGTAATTAAAAGGGACTTATTTGAAAGTAGTTTAACCACACACTGTGGATTTGGTTGAGTCTGATAAACAAAGAGACAGAGCACACAAGCCTCTGTAAGCCCGTGCTGTGTGCAGGTGTCCAGCTTTGACCAGGCAGAAGGCAGCCTAGCCTGAGGCCCCGAGGTGGCCTCTGGAGGCAGCAGCTCCCTGGATCCCAAGCCTGCTGCCCTGTCTAGGAAGGGAGGACCCTCTCTGCATTTGCAGTGACACGTCTGGAGGTGCTGTG